GGTCCCCTTGGCCAAGAGGGGGTCCATTCAGTCAGCTGTGGGGCTCAAGATTTTAGTTCACACTCAACATATTTAGGTAGTAGTGAGTTTTGGTGTAGTTAGCAAATCAGGGGTGAGGATGAGGAAAAAATGCCAAAGATACATTGTGTCGTGGTCCCACTTAACCTCAAGATAGTGGGAAGGATTTTGTAAAAATAAGACAAATTATACAAGAAAAAAGTGATAATTTTACTACATTGAAATTAAACACTGTTCTGTGTAGAGGCTCACGGGAGACGTACGATGTGTTCTTTGTTCCCTTTTCCTCTTTTTTTGCATCCTTTTGGATTAAAAGTATGTTTATGATTCTCTTTGAGTCTTTGTCTATCTTCCATGTCTCTACTTAACATGTCTACTCTTTCCTTTGGGCTTTTGAAGATATGGGATGCATTTATAGCAACTATTTGTCCTTGTCTGTTAATTCATCTGTGTTATTTCTGGGGTGGTTTTGTTTGATTTTCTCCTCATTATGGTTTGTGTTTTCATGCTCCCTTGCATGCTGGGTACTTTTTGATTGGATGCCCAGACATTGTGAATTTTATCTTGTTGGATGCCGAGTATTTTTGTATTCCTGTAAATATTCTTGACCTTTATTCTGGGAGAAGGTAAATTACTCGGAAACATTTTGACTCTGGTAAGTGCTGCATTTCAGCTTTGTTAGGTGAAACCAGGGTGGTTAACGTAGGGCTAATTTTGCCCACCACTGAGGAAGAGTCTTCCGAGTGCTATGTCCAGTGCCCCCTGGATGATGAGGTTTTCCATTCTGGCGGGAAGAGGATCTACCCTCCGCCCTGTGTTCCCACCTTTCTGAGTGACGCTTTCCTCACACACGTGCTGATCGGTGCTCAGCTGCAGACTGGAGAGTCGATATCCTCTGCAGGTCTTGACTGCGCTCTGTGCCGTTCTGTCCTCTCTGGTATTCTGGTTGTGAACTCCAGCCCCCTACCCTCTCTGTACCCCCAGCTCTGTTTTTTCAACTCAAAAGACTGCCAGGCTCCACCAGGGTCTTCTCCCCTGGCCCGTGGCCGTGGCAAGCTGGGCAGCTGTTGGGCTCCTCTTGTTTCCCTTCTTTCAAGGATCTCTGTTCTTCATTGCCTGATGTCCAGTGTCTTGAAAACCAATGCTTCATATATTTTATCCTTTTTTAAAAAGTCATTGCAGGTAGGAAAGTAAATCTGGTCTCTGTCATTCCATCTTGGCCAGAAGCAAAAATATCAAAAGTGGAAATTTTTGAACGAAGGCATAAGCTGGTCCAGAAATATCCATGGGAACTTAGGAGAATGCTGACCCCCTCTCTGGTTGGGATGCCTGGGTGGGAGAGCAGAGGTGACTTTTTCCTGGGTGGACATCAAAGAAATTGGTGTGTTTAGGGAAGGAGATGGGGATAGGGCTTGAGAGAAAGGTTCCCTAGAAAAATCCAGGGCTATAGAATGAGATCCTGAGGGCACGGTCAGAAGAAAGGGATTGAAGATCCTTCTTTAGTGACCACAGAGTCTGGGCTGGAGGACACGGGTGAAAGAAGGCTTATACCCTGCAGTAGGAGGGTGCAGGAGATGGTGATACAGCCAAGGGAGCTGGGAGCAGAGGATGGGGTGGATGCTCAGAGTGTGTGCCCATTGAGGAGAAGGCATCACTCGCTCCTTCCTGGGCCTTTGTGCCTCTCTCGAACTGTGCTGTTCAGGACCGCAGGTACACACTCTTCCTCCAGCTCACAGTGAGTAGAATTTGTCAAGAAGATGTATGTTATAAAACCATTGATTCAATATCAGAATAAATAGGCCTAAGGTCAACATTATAGAAACACTTACTTATTTTGAAAACTGTATATAAAGTGCTAAAAAGCCAATTTTGAGTTATTTAGCTCAATACTTTTAATTATGAAATGTTAGGTATAAAAAGAATTACCTATTTTAGAAGATGATAACACTGACTTATTCCTGGGTTACTGGCACAACTTGGATTACCTTTTTTTGTTTGATTTTTATGTGAATTTTAAAAATGCACAAAGGTAGAAAAAACACAATGAACAACCATGTACTCATCATCCTGCTTCAACAGTGATGAGTACTTTT